GACTGACTCTGTGGCTTGCTTACCAAGCAAATGCTGCAGCGGTAACCTGTGACTTCCAGTCTAAAGGAAGATCTACTTGCAGAGCTATCACTGGATCTGACTGCACTTGAGATTCCCAGTGCAGTGGCTGAACACAAGTCCTGTTCCTGTACTGCCTGTGGGTTGTCACTGAAATGCAGGTGTGAGGACAGGGGCAGAGCTGCAGATGCAGCAGGAGCACCCAGCTGCCAGAGCACCTTTCCTTGATACTGCTGCCCTGGGGTGAAGTCTGTGTTTCAGACACTGGGCATGTCACCCAGCCCCAGTTCCTGCTCCATCCCAGGCTTTTGCTGGGTCCTGTTCCCAGTGGTTCTGTTGGTGTCCCTTTCCTGTGCTCAGTCTGAACAGGGATGTGTCACACTCGCCTCGCTCATACCAAGCAATAGGGAGAGGAACAGCTGCAGGGCCTTGCTGTGCTCCCCAGCCTTTGCTGGCTGAGCAGTTGTTGGTCAGGGTGGTGGCCTGTGATGTGCTCTGAGCCCATCTGCTGACCCCCTTTGCTCTCAGGGACCTTTGCATGGTGCTGTCCATGCCCTTCTCACCAAACCGACCTCTCTGTAATCACACCTTCCCTACCTTGGGTGTGTCTGCACTGTGGGGCTTTTCACAGCTGTTTCCCAAAATCAGGCCCTGGCATGGGGTGCCCTGAGCAGCTGTGGCTGCCCCTGGATCCCTGGCAGTGCCCAAGGCCAGGCTGGATGGGGTTTGGAGCAGCCTGGGACGGTGGGAGGTGTCCCTGCCTGTGGAAGTGATGTGGAATGAGATGGTCTCAGGTCCCTGCCAATCCAAGCTGCTCTGTGACTCTGTGAAAATACAGCAATGTCATCGGTGGTCTGAGCTGAGGTGGCACTGCTGGGCTACCTGAAGCCAGGCTGTGGCTCACAGGAGTGTGTGTGCTTGGAGGGCAGGAGCTTGCAAGGGGAGCACGGGATCTCTGTTCCTCCCCTTAGGGAGGGGAAGGAGGTAAATCAAACGCTGCTGTTTGTAGCCAGCTCTGTGAGGAGAGGAGCCCCAGTGATGGGGCAAGGCTGGCTGCTGTGAGAGGGCTCTGCCCCGGAGCCGGGATCGGCCTGTGCACCGCAGCCCGTGAGGGAAGGCTGGGGAACCTTCTGGCTCCCTTTCAGAGCGAGAAAGGACCGCGGTTCCTCGTGGAGAACATGAACGTTGTTCCTGTCTCCTCTCTCCTGTGCTCGCCACTAGAGGTCAGCGGCCAAAAGGGAGCGGGGTGTGCGGCAGCTCCTGGGCGGTGCTCCAGCTCTGCCGGGCAGTGGTGACAGCCAGCGGTCGTGTGAAGAATTGGGCATTGAGCTTTCCCTGACAGACAGAATATAGCAACGTCACGCTCGAGGAGCAGCATAACCCAGGAAAACCACCTGTCATAGGCCAGTTTACAAATAAAACATGAGCATAGCAATAAAATACTTTCTGCTGTTCACTGGAAGAAGTCAGTGCTGAGGTCAGTGTGGTGTGGGTTTGTACAGGCAGAGAAAGTTCACTGCTGTCTGTGCCTTGGCTGAGGCAGGATCCAAACTGCTTTCTCCTCAGCCTTCGTGGTGCTCTGCTGGAGCCAGGAGAGGTCTGGGTGTTGGATGTAATCCTGTTCTGCAGTAGCTGTGACTCTGCAGATCAGGTTGTTGTGGCTGTGTCCCAAGTGCCACCCTGATCAGAGGGGCAGCTGCTGCCTAAACACAGACACTCACCTGGAGCTGGAAGCTGCAGGTGTTGATCCTTTGAGCCTTTTCCTTGGAGGAGCTGTCAGAGCTGTTCTGCTGTGAGAGCTGAACACTGCTCCTGCAGAAGATCAAATCCTGAGGGGGAAAGTGTTGGTGTGGGCCTGAGAGCTCACTCTGAGTGTGCATAAGGGCACCTCTGTTTAAGTCCTGTCCCCTTTCTAGGCTCCGAGTCTACACTGAGAGTTTTCCTGTACCAGGTGAGTCATTCTGCCTTTGGCCATTTTACCCATTTTCCCTCTCATGGAATGCTGAACTGTGTAAAATGGGTGTGACACTGTTGTTTTCCCTGACCTAACCTGTTCTCCAGAACTCCTTGTCCACGCAGCCAAGCGCTCTGGGCTTTGAGATCTGAACTGCTCACACACAGGTGAGCAAGTCTTGAGAGGAACTTGGATATCTTTAGGGTTATGTCACAGACAGTTTTTCTTCCTCAGAGTTCCTTGGGTCAGGAATGTGCCTGATGCTCTCCAGCAGGAGTTCTATGGGTGTCATTGTTGGGTATTCACCCCTCTGCCTATGGGATGTGGAACAGCAGGTTCTGCCTTGTGCACTGTAGTTAATTTGGAATGGTTTTGTGTCCAGCTTTCATCTCTTCTGCATGGATTGGCTCTTGTGAGACTTACTAGTAGGTAAGGCAGCTGTGCTGGCACAGATAGTTGGAATTCCTTATTGTCCTGCCTTTTCTGGGATGGCAGAGTGAGGCTGTGGAGAAATCTAATAAATCCTTGCTCACATCTCTGCTGGTCATCTTAATTTCATTTTACATCTGCCTTTTGTTGTTTGCCTTGATGGAAGTCAAGGCTGAGATTGTCTTACAGCTTTCCCCCCCATATTCTGCAGGTTTGTAAAGTATTGTCAAAGGGCTTGAAGCAGGTACTGGATTCCTGCAGCCATGTGGACCAGGCAGATGGATTCAGGAGTTCCAGGGGAATGCCAGAACCTCTCTGCCAGGTTGAATTATAGCTATTACAAACTGAGTTAGGGAAAAGATGGATTTTTGAAGAGCTGCTGAGTGTGAAGTTACACAGCTCATGGTGATGGTGCCTTCGGCA